GTCAGTTTAATTTTTTCTGCCTGTGAAGGAGTGAGTCACGTCGGAAGCCACAGATTTTTGCAGGGACCTGCCCTTTGGCAAAGCAGCAGCTCCCCTTCCTCAAAGCTTTTCCCCTCTGCTGCCCCCAAAAGGCCACGGGTGGAGGCCGAGCCCTGCTCCCGGCTGCTTCCCATCGCTGACACAGCTCTGCAAAGAGCTCCCAGGCCTCCGCCAGGGCTGGGGACTGCCGTCCCCCTGCCCAGCTGAGCCCCACTATGCACACCAGCGAGCAGGGGGTGGTTTCTCCCCGACGGAGGGCACGGGGCCGGGGGGCCACGGCAGGGATCGCTCCCACCAGCCAGCCCCCGACGTCCCTCCTGGCACCGGCAGGATGGGCTCCGCGGGCAGACCTCTGCGCGGAGCTGCCCTGTCAGACTATGGATGGGGACTTGCCAAAATGGCACTGGCTCCTCGGCTGGCTGGGAGCCGGGACGGAGATCCTACCTGGGAACTGAGCCAGCCGGAGGTCTGGCCTCTCCTTGCCAGGCACCACCTGGGTGAGTGAGATCGTGGACCTGATCCTGAAAGGCGGCGACCCTGAGAAATGCAAGCAGGAAGCCATCACCAACCGAGTGCCCATGCTGGAGTTCGCTGCCCCTGAGATGCTGGCAGGTAGCCAAGCAGCCAGGGCCGCGGGGCCCGTGGGAGGGCATGTGGGGGCAGTGGGGGCTGCAGGGCTGCCGTGAAGCAGGGCACTGGCCCTAGTGCCCGTGGTGGGGACGCCGGGTGCCCCACTCGCAGCAGGAACGTGCTGGCGGAAACCTCCTTTCCAGGCACGGAGCTGCTGGTGCTGATGCCGTCCCCGCGCATCATCAAGACCCACATCCCAGCCCACCTCCTGCCTAAGTCCTTCTGGGAAAAGCGCTGCAAGGTAACCAGCTGCCGGCGCGAGGAGCGGAGGAGAGCGTGGACAGTGACCTGCCCTGCAGGGACCTTGCAAATGCCAGGCTACAAATGCTCCCTCCGCAGATGGTCTACGTGGCTCGCAACGCGATGCCGTCCCCGCGCATCATCAAGACCCACATCCCAGCCCACCTCCTGCCTAAGTCCTTCTGGGAAAAGCGCTGCAAGGTAACCAGCTGCCGGCGCGAGGAGCGGAGGAGAGCGTGGACAGTGACCTGCCCTGCAGGGACCTTGCAAATGCCAGGCTACAAATGCTCCCTCCGCAGATGGTCTACGTGGCTCGCAACGCCAAGGACGTGGCTGTCTCTTTCTACCACTTTGACCTGATGAACAAGCTGCATCCGCACCCTGGCACCTGGGCCGAGTACCTGGAGGAGTTCATGGCGGGCAGAGGTGGGCCAAGGGCAGCACCCAGAGACGCAGCCCCAGGAGGACATGCGGGGGCAAGACATGCTGCTGCAGGGTGCCTGGGTGCTGCCGTGTCCCCCCAC